ATTATTTATTTTGTAAAATAATATAATGATTTTATTTAATCAAAGTAAATAATTTAATGGGATTCAATATAATGTATTTATAAGTTTTTAATAAAAAAATTTTTTTAATGTTTAAAAAGAAAAAAAAAAAAAAGAAAAAAAGAACAAAAAAAAACTAGAACGTCGAATAATTTAAGTGATTTTATTCAATAGTTTTTAAAAAAAATTAGGTAAACTATACAATAATTATTAGGTGAAATAATAATAATAATAATAATGGTATACCGAAGGAAATCAGGGGATTATAATTTTTATTAATTTTTATATGGCTAATATTTATAAAGTGTTTTCCCATAAATTATAATAAAGTGATTAATGCCCTAATTTTACTTAATAAAACTTAAATTATTTAAATATTTATTTATTTATTTTTTATAATACTCGTCACAGGTTTGTTCATCTCAGCGCAAGTGACACGTTAGAAATCCAGAAAAAATTTAGAGTTTCCAGCGAGTTGGACACGTTATTAGTTTTTAACGAAAACATACATCGACCGGTTGCAAGTCTTAGTATGTCCGTAATTCCAGTACAAACAATGAAAGATATAATAACAGCAAATAAGTATTTGATACTACCTCGATTGTCTTCTCAGGTAAAAACGCACAACATTGTTTCTTCTTTAAAATTTTTATTATTTATTTTATGGTATTAATGTATTACAATTTTTTTTTTTTTTTTTGCCTTTCCCGTTGATAGTATTTATTTTTAAGTGTTACCTTTGTTTTGTAAAATTTATTTATTTTTTTCTCTTTAGAAAGTTTTGGATTCTGTATGTCCTGTGGAGTGGACTCAGAGAAGGAAACGACTTTGTGTTGTTTTAATATCAAACAATATTGAAGAACATGATAATTCAAGGGAAGCATTAAGACAATTTGCTCAAGAATCTTCTTTTAGTTCTGAAAGAGTCAGGTTTTCTTATTTGTACCAGGTAAATATTTGAACATGTTATCATAAATTCTGCTAAATTTATTAGATATAAGCTATCTCTATCTTTATTTATCTTTTTATTTTATTGAGATGTATTATTTCGGTAATTCTATATCAATTTATGATTCTAATTAAGGTATAACTTCTTTTTTTTTTTTTTTTTTTTTTTTTTTTTTTCAGGAAAGCCAGCATGAATTTGTCGACTCATTACTTTTGGGCAGTCCTCATGACATTGCTTTAAATGTTGTTATTCTTTGGAGGAGAGATGTTAATCATTTAAAATACGAATGGATGCAAAAAAGTTGGTCAATAAGTAAATCATCTGATGAATGGAATAAAACGAAGCAAAATTTAGAATTAACCATCGACAAGTTACTTAAAGCTGAAGAAACTCTTACTTATGAGGCTATTGTGAAGGTAAGTTTGGTTCAAAAAAAAAAAAAAAGGTGAATTTTTTATTTTATTTTATGTAATGATTTATAAAATCGGAGAAAAATTTATAGGAATTAACAGATGAACAAGCTCAAGGACTATTAAAAAAAATAATTAGTAAATTTTTAATATCTGTCGAAATTTTGAAAGATCAAATAAATAAACAACATTTATTGGCAGCATCTTCGGTGATAGGAACTGTTTTATTTATTATTTTTATGGGATACTTAATGGCGTACCTTGTGTAAGTATTTGACAAATGTGTGAAAATGTTTTCTGTTGTTTCAAGTCGGGTAGAATTCTCTCTTGACTCCTGAAAAGATGATCTCAAAGGCTTTATAATAATTTCAACTATTTTTTTAAGGCAACAAGAAGAGGAAAAAATCAAATTAAATCGAAATCAATATGATTATCAAAGAGTTAACAGTCCGGGAAGTGGAAACGTAAATTACACTCCTCAACTTAGGCTGTACGAATTAAGGTCCGAAAAGTACAACGGAATGGTGAGATTATTAAAACCCGGATGTAGAACTATAGTGCTTTTATTAGATTCCCAATCCAGAAATTCATTGCTTCCAGAATTTCATGCCGCCGTATGGCCGTACAGAAAGTACGTGTGTGTGTGTGTTGTCACTTAAGTAAAAGTCACTTTTCTTCCCTCCAAAATTTATTTAAATTTTTTTAAAAAATAATTTTAATTTCAGGTATAAAACTTTAATGTTTGGTTATATGGTCGTCGATAAAGGATTAGAGTGGTATAAAAGATTGCTTAATTTAAGTTTACCCGAACCTAGAAGTTTAAATATAAATCCGAGAAATTGTATAGGAACCGTACTTTCACTTAATGGCCACAGGAAATACTTTTGTATGTATCATGCCAAACATCCGGAAATAGTTAAAAATACCGACATAAAGGTAAGTTACATTTAAAATAATATTTTATTCTAAAAAAAAAAAGAAATTTAAACAGTTTTTTTTTTTTTTTTTTTAAATGTCTTTACTTTTATTTTTGTTTAAATTCGGGTTTTTGAATGCCTTTTACTATTAATAACTTTATTTTTTTTAAAAACCATTTCAAAATATGACGAAACACATATATATATATATTATCTTACCACAAATCTTTTTTAAATTCATTCAAAAATAAACATAACTTTATTTGCATAACCTGATTTTTTATTTAAAAAAGCTTCTCTATAATTTTCTAAACTGAATGTTTTTATTCCTAATTTTTCAAAATTAAGGTAACGGTTTCGCATTGTTGCTGCTAAATTAATAGCTTTAGTAAAGCAAAAGGCATTACCCACGCTACCAATTATTTTTATTTCTTTATTTATTATGTCGTATGGAACGCATTTTATTTCAGTTTTCGGATTTGAATTACCAAAAAAACAAATTTGCCCATTTGGATTTAATATTTTAATACATTTTTCAATTGATTTTTGTGAACCCGTGCATTCAATTATTACGTCAGCAGTGTATTTTTCAATGTTTTCTTCATTCACAAACGGATATCCTAAATTCATATCGTGTAATTGTTTTTTTTTATTATTATTTTTGTCGCTTACAAATACGTTTCTGTGTCCTAATAATAATAATAATAATAATAATAATAATAGTTAGTTAAGATTAGGAAATATTGTAGGAAAGATGGTCAATTTGCAAATTTTTTTAAGGCTCGGCTTTCAATTGGGTACATAATTAATACGTAACCTTGAGAGTGCAAAGTTGATGCCCATAAAAATCCAGCCAAATCAAGTCCATGAATGAAAATATGGGATCCCGGGGAAAGGTTTAATTTATGTATGGCGTTCAATATGCAGGATAATGGATGAACCAGGGCTGCTTTGTTTAATTCGAGCTCTGGAGGAATCTGTCGCGTACGAATTATACCCGTTAATGATTCTATATTAAAATTTGATTTAAATCATTTTTTGTTTTACCTTGTGAATTTGACTTTTTTTTACTGTTACATATTCCGCCCAACCTCCATTTTTATAAACGCCAATAGCACTGTGTATTCCTTCATTTGAGCAACACGAACAAAGTCCTCTCGTACAATATCTGAATTTAAAAAAATAATAAGTACGTCATCCATCTTTTCCAAAGTTTTTCCAAACAGTATTGGACAGTACAGTAATTTAATAGTAAAATATTATACTGACCTACAAGTGCTACACGAATTGTAGGGATTTATAACGACATTTTCTCCTTGTATTACTTCAGTAACGTCGCTTCCCGTTGCGTGAACTTTTCCACTTATTTCTTGACCCAATACTATGGGACCAGGTCCGCAATCAATTTTCCCCTGAGTTATAAATAAATCCGTACTGCACACCCCTACATTAATATTAAAAAAATTTTCTTTTTTTTTAATGAATACATATAATTAACTCAAATGTAAATAACGGTAGTAGTTAAAAATTACCTGAATGAGTAACTTTGACGACAATTTCATCCTTGTGTATTTTCGTGGGAGCATTTATTTTGCAATATTTAAGTGATAAATTATCCGGACTGAATAGGAGAGCTTTCATTTTTGGTTTTATCATCGCTTTCGGATTCGGTTGTATTAATTTAAATGCGAAATTATTATTATTACTACTGAATTGTGAAAGAGTATCAATGTGCGGTGTATTTATTACCGGTGAATAATCAATGTTTTTATTCGGATTTCTATATATGTGTTTGAATTCATTTGAATTGGGCGAAAAATCATTTGAATCATTTGATGATTCCGAATTTAAATAATATTCAGGAGGTGGGAGTGGACACGATAAACGACATCTTTGCGAGGGGGGCAATTCAATGTTATCACTTTGGGATTTTGTTGTTTTACTTTCGTTATCGCCGCTTGATGGTAATTTATTAAAATCGTCACGTGGTAACATTAAATTATTATTATTTTTTATATATAATGTCGCGTTGTCATCGTATTTATTATAATTTTTACTTATAGAATTTATCCTTTCGTATTTTTTACCGTGAACGTCGTCGTTAAAATTAATTTTTTTAATTTTTATATCTAATTTTCTATCATTTTTACTTTTAATATTGTCACTGTAACTCCTCGTCATTTCCGGCGTGTTTTCACATTTTCCATTTGCCCAAATAAGACAGGGTACTCTTTTTTTTTTTAATTTTAATTTTAATTTATTATTATTGTTATTATTATTATTATTATTGATAGCGTTAGCGTTAGCGTTATTATTATTATTATTAATAATATTATGATTATTATTATTTACCGATACGTCGTTTTTAAAATATTTTTTGCATTTTATTTCTTTCAATGAAATTAATTTTTTACCAACAAGAATTTTCTCAATGAAAATTTCATTTCCTTTACCGAAATATAATCCACGTATGAATCTTGTCAATATGAAAAAATTAAATTTTAAATAATTTTTAATTAAATGTTTTCTATCGATTGTTTTCGTATGTATAAGTAATAATTTGGGTTTTGAAAATTTATTTATTTTTTTCTGATTCAATTCTGTATAATTTAAATTTATTTTTTTCACCGGAACGTTATTGTACGAGAAACATTGACGAGGATATAAAAACTTTTGAAATTTTTTAACAACGAAAACAAATTTTGATTTTTTCATTTTTTTAGGTCCTAAAAAATAAATATTTTTAATTTTAAACTTAAATTTTTATTAATTCATAACTTTGACAACGGAATGAAATTTGTAAACAAATTTCTTTGTTTTCACGAATTTTTTATTTTTCCCTATATAAATTCCTTTTTTTTTTCTCTCTCTCTCTCTCTCACTCTCTCTCTCTACCCAACGAATTTATTAAATATTTTATATTAAAAAAAAGAAATATTATGATAATTAATAATAATAATAATAATATATTTAATTTGGTTTTTTTTTTTTTTTTTTATTAAATAGAAAATGGATGATTTAACAAAGGGAATAAGTAAAAATGGAAAAATAGAAAATTTTATCGGTTTTGAAGATTCATCAGAATCGGAAAGTAACGATGATGTAGATGTGGAAATGGGAAAAAAAATTTCCGTCGAAGTAAGTTTTTTTCTTATTGAAATTTACTTTATTGCAAAAAAAATTATTATTATTATTATTATTTGTTTTTTTTTGTAGTACGAAGATAACGGTATAATTCTCCAGTGTAATCTATTAAAAGGTTTACCGATTTGGCTGGAAAAACTATTTGAGGGTACGACTCGTCGTTATTATATAAATTATTGGCCTGATTTTCCGACCAAATAAAAAAAAAAGAAAATTTCATTTAAAGGAAAACTATCTCTATCTTTTTTTAATTAATTATTGATAGTAGTAATTTATTTAAATAAAAAAAAATTGGCTTTTTATTAAAAAAAAAAAAAAAAAAAAAACAAAAAAGTACGAATACAAAAAAGTCAATTACTGTACCACCGAATGTATTTATCTGGATATGATTAATTTAAAAAAAAAAAAAAAAAAAACGTTTACATAAATAATAATAATAATAATAATAATAATCGCGTGCCTGAGTTCGTACGTACCTATTTATATGAGTGTGTGGGTGCGGGAGCAAAAAAAACAATTATTAAATTAATTAAAAAGATAATTAAACTACCATATTGATTCTGTTGAATTTTTTTTTCTTTTTTTTCTCACTTAGAATTGTAATAAATTATTATATTATATATATATATATATATATACTTTTACCATTATTGATTTTATCAATTAAAGTTTCATATAAATATATATATAAATATAATATATAATATATTTCTTATTTTTTAAATAAAAATAAAATAAATTTTGTGATTATATCAAAATTAAATAATCAATAAATTTGACGATTCGGATTTCTTATATTGAACTTAATGAAAATTATTATTATTTTTTTTTTAATCAAATATTATTAATTATTTATTGTTGCCATTATTATTTAATTAATTTATTTATAAATTCGAAACAAAATTGTTATTTGTTCATTGTTTTGTTACTTTGTTCTTATTTCTAGTCTCGTTTGAATTATTATTATTATTATTATTTTTAATAATCTTTGGTGTGAATTTTTTTTAATTGAGGTTGAATGCAAAAATTATAAATATAAATATTAAAATTAAAAACCGTCATTGAATTCTGATAGACTGAATTGAAGTATTAGAACGAAAAATGTAAAAAAAAAAAAAAAATTATTGCGAATCGGACCAAATAATTATTCATAATTCACGCCGGTATCTCAATGGATTTTTATGTAAATTAATTTTTATTTATTTATTTATTTATTTAATAATTGTATATAATGATGATTTTAGTTTATGATGAAATTAACAAATTGTTAAATAAAAATGTTTTTTTTTTTCATCACAATTGTATAATCAATAAATAACAACCGTTTGATTTATTTATTTTTTTATTTTTAAACAGATATAACAATTTTTTTTACATCAGAAATTAATAAAGTACAAAATGGTGGATGATAATAAGCCTTGGGAAGTAAATGATAATGATTATTTAAACAAAATTGAAGGTGATTAAATTTAAAAAAATTTTTGAGTTATAATAGAAAAAAAAATTAAAAAAATTCACTTCAATAAATTTTGTTTTATTGAAACAGATACACAGTATACAATTTATACAGCTTTGACAATTAATAATCTAAATAAATATACATTAATTATTTGTTAAAATTCCTTTATTACTAAATACTAGCTATTTTTCTTTAATTTTTTCCCATTTAATTCATTGTTATTGTTTGTTCTGAAAAAAAAAAAATTAAATAATTCTCATGAGAATTTATTTTTAAAAAGTCGAAATAAAATATAATAGAAATAACACATAAATTTATTACATGTATATATTTAAATAATTTGTGTCAACATTTTATATTGTTATAAAAAATATTAGGTTTTGTTTTAAAAAAGTATATCAAAGAGTTTTATAAGATGTACTATAAAATTTTTGTCGAATATTATTTATCGATTTTGTAAAATTATTATTTACCACTCTCGATTTATTTGTAGTGTACAACATTGTGAAATAATATCGAATGTGTTGCACATATGATATTCTAACCTTAATTAACAGAATGGTAATAAAATGCCTTTAATCCAATTAAAGAGGATGTATATATATATATATGGGATAATAATAAAATAAATTATTTTTTTAAGAAAATGTTACCCACTTTGGGAGTTGGTTCACATGTAGGCGTAACAGCCAGATTAAGATCTCTTTCACAATTGCAGTAAGCCATTCCCACAGCAAATCCACTAGCAAGAGCCATGGGCCATTTTTTCCTGTTGCAAAATATATATGAAACAACACCTCCAATTAACAGTCCACCTCCTGAAAATCATTCGAAAAAAAAGGTAAGAATTTAAAAATCTTAATTTTTTTTTTTTATAAATTTAAATCCAAGCTAAATACGTTAAATACCCGGTTAAAAATTCTTATTTTGATTTATTTTTTCAAGTAACCTCACGGGTTGATTTTTTTTTTTACGTACACATACATGATTATTGAATGAGAACTAATTTTTTTTTTTTAAATTATGATAATCATAATTAAAAGAAGATACTGTACCTAATTTTAATATTAAATCCGTTAGACAACGATCCCATTTACGACCAACTTCGTCTTCTTTATTAAGAGGGGGTGGTGTTTTGCTCGCCATTTTGATTAGTCAGGGAATTTTATTTTTAATTTAGAAATTTAGAAATGGTTTCTGATAATATATTTTATTACTTTAATGAAATTACTACAGAAAATGTTCCTGATTCCGACGAATTAATAAGATTACATTTTATTATTATGATAAAGTAACTGATACGTCATCAAGCTAAAGAGAAATTCATTTGTTTTTTTTTTTTACTGGGAAACTTAATTTTTTTAAAATTATAATATATTTTCTTAAGAAAATAATTTCCCTTTTTTTTTAATTATAATTTTTTTTTCTTTCAAGTATTTATTTTAAAAGTATATAAATATATATATTAACAATTTTTAATTAATTCTTTAAATATATTAATAATTCAATTAAGGTATCATTATAATATACTTCTATATTATGTCCCAATATGCTGTACGAATCCCTGAGATACGATACGAAATATAAAATTATTTTGCTCTGAGAAGTCTGCCGTAAATACGATAAAAAAAAAAGTTAGTAAACGGTAGTCGTCCGTTGACGACAGTACGTCAGGAAAGCTATGGCTTTATAACTGCCAAATACATCTTGACAATACTGTGTGTGTATACCGACCATATATTGTTGTATAGAAAAAAGTTGTGTTAATCATTTGAAATATTTGAGGTAACGAAAAAAAGTAATACGGTCAAAATAGTCGAAAAGAAATTAAAAAAAAAAAAAAAAAAAAACTTTGAAATTGAGACAGGCGTAGTGAATTAATTGAAGGCTGTGTTCTAATGAAAATTAAAAACTAAGCTTAAAAATTTTAAGAAAACCTACGAAACATTTCGAGTGGCAAAATTATCAAAAAAAATAAACTGAATTTAAAAAATTGTGTGATGCTTACACTGTAACAAGAATTACTTAAAAAAAAAAAAAAAACCAGAGAAAATGGAGAAAATGGAGAATGTGTAAGTGTATTTAAACTTATTTTTTGGCGGAAAAAACTTGTCCCAAAAAACTTTGTCATTTTTTTTTTTACTATAATATTTATTTACGATATATGTTTTCATAGATAATTATTTTAAATTGTAGAAGACTTAAATCAAAAACTATTTCACTTTTAAATTTTAAAAAAATTTTTAAAGTTAAGTAACCTGCTTGATCGAATTATGAATTTCTCACTAAATTAAATTAGTAAGAATTATTTATAGAGTTGATATACTCATTAAAAATATTTTTAAAATAACTAAAAAAATATTTATGGCATTAACGTGATTTCCTTTTTATTATTATTTTATATATTTATCTACTTTTTAAGTAAAAATCAAGTAAGGAAAAAATTAAATTAAGACAAATTAGGTTATCTTCAATTATTATAGGAATTGAAAAGAATTTTCAATACGTATGAAATTTTTAAATTTAAAAATTTTTTATTAGATTTTTTATAAATTGTGAGTTATTTAATTTTTTATTAATTTTTGAAAAAAAAAAGAAATCATAAATTATAGTTTAATTTAAAAAAAAAAAAAAGAATAAAAGATTTGAATTGAATGATGTACAAAATTACATCATTAAAAAAAAAAATTTTCCCTCGACTTTTTTCGTATTAAAGGGTTGGCCAAACTGCTCACTTAAGGTGGAGTATTTCGAAAGAAAGCTGATTAAAGTATTACGATAAAGAAATTTATTTCTGTTTTAAAAAAATGTGTCTATTTACTGTATTTGTGAACTTTTAAAATATTATATGTATTTTAATAACGGAAAATACATGGGATCTATTAAAAGTTAACTAAAATTTACTGAATTTCCGGAACTGATTTCTATGTTTGTTTTAGATTAGTGAGATTTCAATATCAAACGTAAGTACAAAACGATTTTAAAATTTAAAAAAAAGTCTTATTTGCAAATGTGCACAGTTTAATATTACATTTATTATATTTTTTAATATTATATTTAAATATATATATAAATTATACTCGGTTGTTAAAGTGCATATACGGATTTTATGGTGTGTAAATATCAAATTTATTAATAAAAATAAAATTATTAATTAGGAGTCATATTTCTTGATTATTTAAATAAACCATTGCAGTCATTTAAGAAATTTAAAAATCTGATCTTAGAATATTAATTTTTTTTTTTTTTGATTAATTATTTGAGGAAAAATTTAGGTTATTTTGAAAAAAATGATAAGTGTTACTGATTACAATTGAACTCTCTCATTTATATATATATTATTATAATGGTTTTATTTATAATTAATTGTGTAAACTTATAATTAATTTTTAAGGTAATATGGCTCCTCCCCCTCCTCCTGTTCCTCCACCACCACCAATTTCTACAGCACAGTCTGGGGCTCCGTCTGGACAACAGATTAATATGCTCATGCATTCAATCAGACAGGGTACCAAATTAAAAAAAGCTGTAACAATTGATAAGAGTGGACCATTTATAGCAGGTAAAATAATTACTATTGTTTTAGTATTACATAATTTTTTTATTATTATTTAAAAAGAAATAAAGAAATTTTTCATTATTTGTAACCAAGAGTTTAAAAATTTTTTCAACATTATCGACTAACAGTAAAAATAAGTATATTAAAGTATTTAAATAAAGTTACGATTGTATGTGAAAATAGGTAGAGTGCAAAATTCTGGTAATTCTAATTCTAATGAAGAAAATACTAAGGATTTTTCTAGTGTCAGCTCTTCTAGGCACACTATAGCAAATGGTGGACCTCCTGGTTTAGGTAATCTATTTATGGGTGGTATCCCTAAGTTGAAACCCACTGGATTGAACGTAGGTATGCTAAAAAAAGTATTTAAAATTATACTATTATTATGTATTTTATAAGAAATTTTTCATTTATTTCATATTGAATATTAGTGTTTTTTTTTTTCAATATTTTCTTTCCGTCAATTGAAATAAAAATTAAATTTTTTTTTATTTAAGGGTCTTCTATGAGTGGAAGCAAGGATTCATTTTCTAGTAGTAGATTATTATCAACTGATACAAAGAATCGAGGGCCACCTCCTCAACCACCACCTGTCAGTCACAAACCTCAAATAACTTCTGTAAGTTTATTGAATTTTTTTAAGATTTTTTTTGAAAACATGTTCAAATTTAAAATTTAATTTTTTATTACTTCAACTTTTTTTTAAAAGTTTATTAAAATATCAAATTAAAAGTTCTTCATATATATATATATGAATTTTTAAATGATTATAACTGTTTCAGAGTGCCTCAGATTCTTCAGTGGGGTCTGGAACAACTAATAATGTTTTTACCAAGTCTCCGAATTCTTCCTCAATTCATCCTAGTAAACCCCCCGTTGGTGGATACGGAAAACCGAATTTAGCGCCTAAACCTCCAACATCAAAAGAATCATCATTATCGCAATTATCGAATACAACGGATTGCAGCGGGAGCAACATTGGTTTAAACGAATTAGAAAAACCATCTCCTCCACCAAAAAAAATTGTTTTGAACGGTAGAGCGGGAGTAAATAGAGCTCAAAGTATGCGAGTTCCTAAATCTCCTCCTGTTGCTCCGACTACAAGTCCTCCTTTTCCTCCTAATTATAACAAACCCAACCTAGTCAAAAATCGATTAAATTTACATCAGAGTCAAGATAGTTTAAACGATAAGAATTATATGTCTAGTAAAATTGGTACTTTGCCCCATAACTTTCAAAAGCTCAGCTTTTTTCCACCAAACATTCCGCCTCCTCCTGCTCCGAGTCAACGTAAGTTTAAATTACTATTTTTTTATTATTTAAATTGAAATAAAAAAAAAAAAAAGTCATGGGATTAATTAATTGATAAACATTTAATTTTTATAGGAATACCGGCCAGGCCACCGATATCAAAGCCACCTCCTCCACCTTCAAGGCCTGTAGCACCACCCGCTCCGCCACCGCCGCCGCCACCCCCTCATAGAACTACACCAGCTCCTCCTCCTCCAATTCAAGGAAGATTAGCGTCTAATGTAAGTATAAATGGCATTCCTTAACTAGTTTAAACGCCGTAACTATATTCACTTAATTTTTTTTTTTTTTTTTTTTTTTTTTTACAGGCTCCCGGTTCGACTCCTCCTGCTCCGCCTATTCGAAACTTGTCAATGAGAAATGGCTCACTCATGCAGCAGAGTAAGTTAGCTGTCAATTTTTAAAAAAATATTAATTTTTCGGGGTTTAAAAAATTGTAAAACTTACTGTTTCTATTTATGTTTTTATTATTGTGATCCCAATTTTAAGTAATAATATTTTATACGATATGTTTATATCACATTTTAAATTTTATCCTTATCATGTTGAATTTTTGATATAAGATTGCATGATAAAGCAAACTTTGATTTCAGTAACTTAACGTTTTGCTTAGCTAATTTACTGATTATATTTTTAAGAGGCCAACTGCACGATTAATCTTAATCCCGACAAGAATCAATTCATTTGAAATATTTTCAATCCGAATAAAAAATTCATTTTTTTTTTTTTTTTTTTTTTTTTCTAGCTGATGTCGAAAATAAATTTGGACATTTATTTCATAATGTACAGGAATTTCCGGATCCTGGGATTTTTAGAAATTTAATTAAAAATTACAATACAAGAGCTTCGGCTGTGGGTAAGTAGAAACTGAAAAAATTTTTTTCTTAAAGGGTTTATATATGTGTATTTTTTTTTTTTTAAACACATTTGATAAAAATTAAGAAACTTACGATGAAAACCAATAGTATAGTGTACTAACTAAAAGAATATAAGTAAGAGGAATTATTACTTACAAGGTTTTTTTTTTACCCATTCATATTTATTTATAATAATAATTTTTAGGAAAACAACCTGCACCACCTCCTCCGCCATTGTCTTCCTTGCATAGCAACAAAATATGGAACAATACTTCTTCTCATTGCTAGCAAAAAGTTATCGGTTTTATATCTTGGATTCATCATAAGTGCAAATTTCACAAATACTAAAAAAAAAAATACACACATATGGTGAATTTTAAAACATGATTTTCATATATTTGGATGTTATGGGATTATAAAAAAAATATTATTTGTATTTTATTTTCGTGAATATCCCCGACGGACTTTTTTTTTATTTATTCGAACAATCGAGCCCCAGTCATTTAAATTCGAAATGATTTAAAAAGAGAAAGAAGACATTGACATATTATTAAAACAAACAAATTTACTAAATAGTATTAGAAAAAATTAAAGCAATTAATTAATTAATTAATTTTAGATTTTGTTCGAAAACCCTAATAATAATAATAATAATAATACAACCCTGTGATAATATAGATGTAGATTAATAAACATTGTTTTCATTTTAAAAAATAAAAAAATCGGCTACCTACATTTATATTATTATTATTATTAATTTTATTTTTTTCGGTCGGTATTTTGATTTGATTAAATTACTAACAAGAAAAAAAAAAAATAATAATAATAATGAAAACAATAATTTTTTTTTGTATTTTAAGTTGTTTATTATTATTATTATTTAATTGTTATATATTTTTTAAAAATGTTTATATTGTGTGAAATCAACCCCTAATACTTGATTCAAATGTTTATTTTCTCACAGTTATTTTCGTTAGTCGTATGTTGGATGGTTTGATTTAAAAAATACTCTCTCTTTTTATATACTCCTCGCAAAAACTGAATAAAAAAAAAAAAAAAATTTTTCATTTTAAAGTTTGTCTCGGTTTTTTTTTAAAAAGGTAAATGAGTCTTGATAGAAATTTGTGGCGTTGGAATTTTGTTTTGATTTTGTAAGGGTATATATATTTGTCAGGGAGAAGAATGACATTTGTACATATATCACAGAGGCCTTTATTAAACCCGTTTATGTGTAACCCATGCCAAAAAATTATATAGGTTGTCATTCTTGAAGTTATTTTTGATATTGAGAAACAATATGTTATCATTATGGCTCCTGTTAGGAGGTAACCCTTTGACAGTAATAATTTTATGACGGTTAGGAGGTATGCGGACGAGAAACTCATTCAGAAAAAAGAAATAAAAATATATTTTACCTAATAATATTGTGTTAATTATTTATTAACGGGTAGTTTATTCGATACAAATTACATTAAACATTATCTAAAAGTTTTTTGTTTGTAGGATTGAATTTAGGGTAGGAAATCGATTATATTCAAATATTACAAAACATTGATAAAAAAAAAAAAATTATCCTAATCACAAATGATATTTTTATTTTTTCCCTTGCAGATTGATAATAAGTAATTAGAACGTTATTGTTTTTTTTTTTTTTTTTTTTTTTTTTAACATAACGTCCGCATATAATCTTATCACCATTGTTTTTTTTTAATAATAGATACCGATTTGTAAATTAAAAAAAAATAAAATGTTGTATTTGCATGTACAAAAAAAATTAACATTGTATTTTTTATACAATAACTTATGCGTATTACATGACGGCCTTAATATTATAAATAATTTAAATTAGCGTTAAATTAAATTTAAAAAATCCCTAAAATTATTGTAAATTTTTAATAAATAAATATTATTATTATTATTAACTAGGATTTAATTATTATTTTGCGAATAACAATTATTATTAATATTTATAGTAAAAAAAAATTAAATAATTAATAAATAGTAATAATGTAAATTTCGATTTGTATATTTTTTTTTTTTTTATTTACTCGGTTATATTATTAAAAAAAATAAAATTTATTATTTTTATTTATATGTTTTATTTAAAAATAGGAAAAATTATTTTTCATATTTATTATCAATTTTTTTTTTTATTAATATAAAAAAATAAATAATAAAAATAATTCATAATTTTATTCGGTTATTTTTATTTATATGCGTTAATTATTCGAAACAATTGATTTTATTATTAAAGTAATTAACATACATAAATTAATTTTTTCTTTCACAAAATATGTATTTTATATATACATACATATTATCAATAAATAAAATTATTTTTGTAATTTATTTTAATTTTATTTGAATTTATTTATTATTGAGAAATTTACAAAAATGTTTTAAATTATTTTATTGTCAAAATAATACTGTTGACGCCATTTTTTTCTTTTTTAATCAAAACTTTCTATAAAAATGTAATAGTTTATAATGGAGAAGGGATTTTTATTTTATTAATTAAGCAAAATTTAATAATTTTATATATCGTGAATGAAAAAATTGAAATTATTATTATCATAAGAAATGATAAATAGTTATAAAAAAAAAACATTTGAATTTTTATAAAATAATATTGAAATCAATTAAAAAGAATTGAATTGATTTTTCTTGTTAGTGGTAATGTCACACCATTTTTCGTACAAAGTCCCAAATAATCGTCTGAATTTATAGAATATATCATGATTCCACCCAATTTATTTTCAATAGCGTAATTAGCCTGAAACAAAATTTTAATTAATTATCGAAGTGAAAAATTAAGGTGAAAAGATTTAAATGAAATTTCTCTTTGCGAGACCCCGTATTTTGACGGTTAGAAAATAAAACTCACGATTCTTATTTTTTGTTGTAATAATTATACTTTTACTATAGGTTAACAATTATTTTAAAGAAATCTAAATGGATTTTATATACCGTGACTTTATATTCAGGAAATTATGAGATAAAAACTTTATTTAAACTATATAAAACTTTTTGTAAACTTTAAATTTAAATTTGTAATTCTTTTACTATGTAAAACTTTTGTCGTGGTATTAGACAAATTACTTATTATTATTTGTTCTTTATGTTTGTGTATATTTATAATGTTACGAACGGTGAATAATTACGATGATCCGATTTTGTCTTTGCAGTCCGATTGGGATGATTTAATACAATTAAATAACAAAGAAATATGGATTTCCGCAACTTTTAAAGGGAAAAAAGGAATACATTCAAAAATTGTAAGCCAGGGAATGAATTTACCCATTTGTGTTTCAAATGACTTTTCCATTTTGTTTTGTTCCAAAACAAAAATTGAAATTAAATACAATCCGACGGGGCATGTCTTTATATTTATAGCACCTGTAAAAACTTTAGTTAATATTCATAAAGATAAAATTTCATCTTTAGATATATCGCCTAAAGGCTGGGGAATCTCAGTTTCCGTAGAGAATGACTTAGTACTATGGAATTCGACGAGCGGAGAAATTTTAAAAATCTTAAAAGGACATGTTGGAGACGTTTATAAATGCAAATATTTTCCATCGGGAGTAGTCATATTGTCTGCAGGAGCTGATATGCAATTGAAAATATGGTGTGCGGAAAGTGGTATTTGTCCGGTAACATTAATTGGGCATAAAGCAGCAATAACTGATTTTAGCATTGTCGATAGAGGTAGAAATGTAATATCTGTATCGAAAGATGGTTGTGCCAAACTTTGGGATTGTGGAAAATCAGAATGTATTGCCACTATTTATAAATCAGATAATATACTGAATTGTTGTGCCTTAGGTGTTTTAAAAAATTCAGAAAACTTGTTACCCTTTGAGTCTGCAAATGATAGGGAAATTGGCACAAATGGTAAATTACTAATTATTGGTTCTGAAGAAGGATTTGTTTTTGGCATTGATATTTCAAGAAGAAAAAAAATTTTTACAATAAATGTTAATGCACCAGTTAATTTGGTCTTAATGTTATCCGACATAGTAGTTGTTGGTTGTCAAAATGGAGAAGTGAAACTTTTTCAACTTTCAGAAATAGAAGTACCATTTAAAGTTTTCAGTAATTCAAACAGTCCTGTGTTGTGTGGATGTAGTCTAAATAATGATGGATTTTTAATAGGCAGAAATGATGGATCTGTAATGTATTATAATCATTTAAATTGCTCATATAAAACAATTTCTTTGACTGGTGCAAATTTTGATCCAATATACGATATGTGTTGTACAAACAATGTAATTTATACCTGTTGCAGAGATGGAAAGATTAGGAAGTACACAATAGAAAATTTGATACCAAATGAAATATAAATGTTGTTAATGAATTTTTAACTTAATGTTAAATGTGTGTATAATAACTTAATATCAATAAGTGCTTTAATGTTAATCCAAAAATTAAAAAATTTTTTTTTTTTATATATTCGTTTGAAAAGTTGATGATAATAAAACATATGCTCAAATAATTATTGTAATTAATTATCTAATATATCTTTTCTAGGGGAATCCTCCAAGTTGAACAAAAAAAAGAAAATTTTAACCAGTCTTTGAAAAATATGATTGCCTAATTTGTCAGAACTGTACATTCTCAATTCATGTAAGTAAAGTCTATAATAATTTAAATTTTTATGTAACATTTGTATCTCTTATGATTCTATCTAATTACTTATACATAAAAAATGGTTCATATATGGTCAAGGATGTATAAAATGGGGGAAAGACATTGTGTTTTACTTGAATTAGTTTGTGTGTTGCCCCCCCCAAAAAAAAAGGGAAAAAAAAATTTTAAAAAAGTTTTTTGACTTACCTTATGTGTTACGCTCCTTTCATCTTCGTAAGAAATCCAATTAGGAAATTTATATGCATATGGCACTTTTGATGTGTTGTCAAATACAATTGATACATTTGTTTCTTTGGTAAATTGACAAATTTCAGAATAGAAAACAAAACCATCATTTCCTAATTCTCCATTACCAATAGCTGGTGCATGAAGATGGACTTTATCTTGTGAGAGCAATCTTTAAAATTCATTTAAAAATTAATGTTTGTTGAACAAAAATTGTTTACTGGAATTTTTGCTTGTCTTGCCTATTTTGTATATGAAATACACTTTTTTTTTCGAGGAAATTAATCATGTCTAATTAGTAATCTACTTCTGTATCACTATTTTAAAAAAGTATTCATAAATGCCATATTAATGGCATCAAAATCAATAAATAATTAATTCATAATCAAAGTGATAATGATGGTTTTAAGAGTTTACAGAAATTCAAGTTTTCTTACTTGTAGGAATGACCAAATGTAGGAACCCCTAAGACAATTTTGTCTTTTGGCATTGATTGAGAAATCCAATAATTAATACTGTTATTGACATTAAAAAAGAAAGGTGACACTGAATTATCTGAAGAGTATAATGCAGAATTATGACCAGTAAATGGATACCATTTTGAAAAAAAATGATAATCATAGCACATAACATTTACAAAATCAACATATCTGAAAAAAGAGAATGTAAATGTATTATTTTTATTTTTTACAGTTTTACTTACACAAATCAGAAATTCTTTTTTTTTTTTTTTCACTGACTTTGCTAAGTATGGTATAAAATATGCCAATTCTGATATTTGTTTTGATGAAGAAACATCAGCACTCAAAATATAATATTTGGAATGTTTTTTAAATACTTTTCTAAGTTCGAATAACAATTTGAAAAAATTTATTTTTTCTTTAAAATCCCCATTTAAGCCTGGCCATTCCCAATCTAAATCAATCCCGTCTATATCTAATTTTTTAAATAAATCAATCACACTTTTAATAAATCTGAAATGAAGTGAAGTAAAATAAATATATATATATATTTAAAATTAATTAATATTGTCTTATTATGCATCATGAGCAAGCCTTACAATTTTCTGGAAGAGTGTTTAGAAGTCATCGAACTAAATCCTTGAAATTTGGCACCTCCAACAGAAATAAGTATTTTAAGAGATTTATTTTTACTCTTCAGTAGAGATATTTGCTTTAAAGTCTAAAATTAAATTATATTTTTAAGGGTTTAAAACTTTATGAATAATTTCTATAAAAATAATATACATTCATAAAATTTACATGCAATTTATCTGTAGAATTTTCTATTCGATAATCATCATTTATACCAAAGAATCCAACATTTATATGAGTGCATAAATCT